CGTGGGAGGTTTGTTTGTCTTCTTCGGGTGTGGCAGACGTCGGCACCTGCTGTTGACTCCGTGAGGCATGCAAGGGCTTTTACCATGTTCTCCTGGTACGGTAAAAGCCGGCGTCCACAATACTGTCGATGCTCAGAGGCATGTGGGGGAGCCTTACCGATGGGAGTTAATGGCGCCCACAATACTGTAAAGGAAATGTCGGCGCCTACAACACTGTTTGGGCTCTGTTGTGCCAGGGAGGTTGTAGAGTACTGTTTCTGCAGGTGTACAGGGTACGGTCCCTGGTATCGTGGTTTGATGTGTGCGCCCTGCCTTGCTTTCTCCGTTCGTTCCCTGGTTCTTTCCGAGCGGGCGTCCCCGGTCGGTTGGTTCCAGTCGGCTCTGATCGTGCCAGTCGGAGAAGAGCCGTGAGCAAAGGTTTGGCACCTCCCCCGTCGGAGACGCAGTGAAAGGTCCTAATATGGCTAGGGGGGGGTGAATAGCCTATTTAAAAATCTATAAATCAACTAGAGCAGTTTGATTAGTATAACAAACAGCGAAATGCAAACTTGCTCTAGCTCTACAAGGGTTGCAAGCCACCTATCCAACAATTCTAGTTGCTATGATCACTAAACACATAATTTGCTATTTCACTACTCACTAAGAGGTCTCACACTTGCTACACTAAAGAGCTTCACTAGATAAACTTAAACTACAAAGCAAGCTCTCAATTCTAGTTACACTAAAGAGCTTGCTACAACTAGTTTGCAAGAATATAAATGAGCTAGTAGGGTGATTATACCATCGTGTAGATGAATGAACCAATCACAATATGAATACTAAATCAATCACCGGGAGAATACCAAAGGGCAAGAGACAACCAATTTTTCTCTCGAGGTTCACGTGCTTGCCGGCACGCTAGTCCCCGTTGTGTCGACCAACACTTGGTGGTTTGGCGGGTAAGAGGTGTTTCACGAACCTCGTCCACACAATAGGACACCGCAAGAACCAACCCACAAGTGAGGTAACTCAATGACACGAGCAATCCACTAGAGTTACCTTTCGGCGCTCCACCGGGGAAAGCACAAGACCCCTCACAATCACCACGATCGGAGCCGGAGACAATCACCAACCTCCGCTCAATGATCCTCGCTGCTCCAAGCCATCTAGGTGACGGCAACCACCAAGAGAAACAAGTGAAACCCGCAGCGAAACACAAATACCAAGTGCCTCTAGATGCAATCACTCAAGCAATGCACTTGGATTCTCTTCCAATCTCACAATGATGATGAAACAATGATGGAGATGAGTGGGAGGGCTTTGGCTAAGCTCACAAGGTTGCTATATCAATACAAATGGCCAAGAGAGTGAGCTTGAGCTGGCCATGGGGCTTAAATAGAAGCCCCCACGAAATAGAGCCGTTGTACCCCTTCACTGGGCACAACGCGGGATGACCGGACGCGCCAGTCGTATTGACCGGACGCAGGACCCCAGTGTCCGGTCCTCAGATCTTCGCCACGTGTCCCCTGCTTCAAACACTGATCGCCCGATCTCAACGGTCAAGTGATGACCGGACGCGTCAGTTAGAAAGTGACCGTACGCTGGACCCCAGCGTCCGGTCATACAGTGTCTCCTCTGTGCGCCCCACGTTAGCATACGTCAGCACTGATCGGATTCAGACCCTGAACGTCTGGTCAGATTTCACGCCAGCGTCCGGTCATAAGACCGAGACGCGAGCTCACTGTTGTCACTGACCGGACGCGCCGGTCCAGTAGAGGCCAGCGTCCGGTCACTCCAGTGAAACCCTGTCTTGTCTATATAGGGCGCCGGTGGCATCGTCGGACTGTCCACACTCTACGGGCGGACACTCCACCGGTGAAGTTTCTAACCCTTGTTCAAATGTGCCAACCACCAAGTGTTTCACCTTGTGCACATGTGTTAGCATATTTTCACAAATATTTTCAAGGGTGTTAGCACTCCACTAGATCCTAAATTTATATGCAATGAGTTAGAGCATCTAGTGGTACTTTGATAACCGCATTTCAATACGAGTTTCACCCCTCTTAATAGTACGGCTATCGAACCTAAATATGATCACACTCGATAAGTGTCTTGATCACCGAAACAAAATGGCTTCTACAACTTATACCTTTGCCTTGAGCCTTTTGTTTTTCTCTTTCTTCTTTTCAAGTCCAAGCGCTTGATCATCACCATGGCATCACCATCATCATGTCATGATCTTCATTTACTCCACCACTTAGAATGTGCCACCTATCTCATAATTACTTTGATAAACTAGGTTAGCACTTAGGGTTTCATCAATTCACCAAAACCAAACTAGAGCTTTCACGCAGGTTGAAGTCGGAGGTGGTGTTTTGGTCAGGCTTTCCGGTCGGAGAGGCCGTCCAAAGACGGGCTAGAGACCGAAGCGAGCGCTTCGGTCGGAGAGGTGGGCCGGAGTCAGAAAACGGGTGCCATTCCTCCTCGCCTAGGCCTTCCGGTCGGAGATTGGGTCGCCCCTTTTGCCTGTCGTTCAGGTACCTGGGCCGGCTCATGAGTTATGTGTTGTCTTGCTTGGGCCGAGCCTTTGTTGGGAAGCCGGTCCACGAGGGACCCCGGGTTTATGAATCCGATAGTTGGTGTCACCCCTTGCATGTACTTAGAATCCATTTGATCTTTTAGTTGATCTCCTGATCTAATACAACACAAAATGATAATTCAAATAAATAATGGTCATAAGTATGAGCAATAAAACACTAACAACAGGAACAATTAAGATCCAAATAAATCTAAATAGAGCACTAATGTAAAAAAATGGTATTGGTTTCATATTTTTATTTAAAATTAATTAGTTATGAAACTTTAGAGGTTAACTTTTTATTATTTTTAAAACATACACATATATAGGCAAAATCACCTTTGAAACTAGTCGATGACTAAAGACATCTGGTTTTGGAGTTTGATGGCTTAAATCGGACGGTTGATAGTTTGATGGCCAAAAAAAGTTTTTTTTCCCTTAAATATACTTCGTCCGTTTCAAATTATAAGTCGCTTTGACTTTTTTTAGTTCATTTATTTTACTGTGTATCTAGACATATTATTTATATAGATGCATAGCAAAATAGATGTATCAAAAAAGTCAAAGTCTTATAATTTGGAACGGATGGAGTAATATTCTTTCATGGTTAGCACGTTGGCCTCTCCTAGATCTCATCTCAAACTGTATAATCGATCTTATGCAGCGTGGTGTAAACTTAAGCATAGGTAGAAAGCAATTTGTTTTTGTCATGGGGGTCTTTGGGTCACCCTTTTGGTGTCGCTTCGCATCGCGCATGGACGATTGACTTTCTTGGAAAATTGCTTTGGCAAAGTCAGAGCTACCATGTTGTGGGCTTCGACATAGCGCAGCAACAATGACATCTACAACCTCTTTAGGGTGGTGTTAGTTTTCTTTGTTAGCGTGTGTTGTGACTTAGAGGCTTTGGGCTTTGGTCCTTTGGAGGAAGTCGGAGCTGCTCGACTTTTCGATCTCAGCCATGATGGCCTGTGGTGGGCTACATCATTTTGAGTTGGCGATTTCGGTTATGATGTGGTCGATGTTAGGGTTTTTGATAGGTTTTTCTTTAATTAACCATGCAAGTGTACTCCCTCTATCCCAAAATAGTTGATGTTATATGATTCAAATTTTGTCACAAAATAATTGTCATTCTCACTTGCCAATGCACCTTTCTTTCCTCTCAACACACCTTTTTCTTTTTCCAATACATCTCTATCTCTACTTCTCTCTATCTCTCTCCTTATTTTCTGTGCATCACACCTTTTTACTCCTAAATTCCCCTCTTGCTATGGGCGAAATGATTTACAATTTAGAACGAAGGAGCCCTAACTAACAAGTACAAACACTAACGAGATTTTTGGGGAAAAACTAATAACTGAGATCACAGGGGAGGCTGCGAGCATGGGCGAATTGGACTGGTAGAGTGGTTGGGTCTGGCCCAACGAAAATCCCAAGCTTGGCCCAATCCAGGCCCAAGGTCTGTTCCGTTACGCTCAGCAATGTTTCCGTTGTGCAACGCGACAGGTGGACCAAGGTGTGGCCCACACATCACAGTAACAAAGGCGTTTGTAGACCTGGTCACGAGACATTTGTCCCCCCGTCTCCCTCACAGGCCACGTATTTCAAGCCGAGCTCAACGTCTCCCTGAGAAGAAGTGTCCCCGTCCTTGCATGTTGACCAAACTAGCCAGTATCTCACTGACGTGTGGGCCAGAGTTCTACTAACCCCACTCGTCATTGACAGTGCAGACGCCTCCGTGTGTGTCTAGCTTTCACACACTTCACCTACTCTCCACACAGTTCGCATCAGCCCTGGGCATTCGGTTAACCGAAACCGATTGATTCAGTTCCTCGGTTCTTTATAAAATTCAGTTAGCATAAAACTAGAACCGATTGGTTAGTTAGGAAACTTGGAATCGAGAAAATTTAGTCTCGGTTAGTTCGGTTCGGTTTCAGTTAAAACCGAATTAACCGAGTCATACGTTATATCAGCGAAACAGAAGGGAAGAAAAGGAGAAAAATAGAAAAAACGGTTCTTCGGTTCTTGGGTGGTGGGGATAGGAACCGAGGGGTTGTGTTATATACCTAGGGTTGGAATTTGGGCTGGGCCTCTTTTTGCTATTAGGCCAATATATGCAGATTCGGTTCTTCGGTTTTGTTCGGTTAACCGAAGTCTGAAACCGAATTACCTGATATTATTTTGATTCCTGAGAACTGGGAACCAAATTAGCAACCAAAATTTTCGGTTTCGATTAATTCAGTTTCGATTTCGATTATTTTGGTATAGTTTTAGGTTGTCGGTTCTCGGTTATTTTTGGCGGGGCAAGTTCGCACCCGAGTTCACACTACAGAGTACAGAGCGCAGAGCTGCAAGCTCTGGCAGGCGAGCTCACCTCGCCTGTCTGCCAGACTCCTCCCCCTAGGCCTCTACTATTCAAGCCCAAACCCTAAACCCTAGGGCCCAAATGCCGACGCCGGCGACTGCGCTGCTGCTGTTCCTCGCGGCGGCGGCGGCGTTCCGCGGCGCGACGGCGAAGACGACGATCGAGCCGTGCTCTGGCGCGGACGCGTGCCCGGCTCTGCTGGGCTACACGCTCTACGCGGACATGAAGGTTTCCGAGGTGGCGGCGCTCTTCGCCGCCGACCCGGCAGCGATGCTGGCTGCCAACGCGCTCGACTTCACCTCTCCAGGCGCCGCCAACCGCATCGTCCCCAAGGGGACGCCCCTCCGCGTGCCCACCCGCTGCGCCTGCGCCGACGGCGTCCGCAAGTCCGTCGCCGTCCTCTACGCCGTGCGGCCTTCCGACACGCTCGGCTCCATCGCCGAGGTCGTCTTCGCCGGCCTCCCCTCCGCCGACCAGATCCGCACCGCCAACGGGCTCGCCGCCGAGGACCCCGACGCGCTGCTCAACCCGGGACAGAAGCTCGTCATCCCGCTCCCCTGCGTCTGCTTCAACTCCACCGACAACAACCTCCCCGCTGTGTACCTCTCCTATGTCGTGCAGGTTGGGGACACCGTGGAATCCATCGCCGCGAGCCACACAACCACCGTCACTGATATCAGCAATGTGAACGCCATGGGGAGCCCCATTGTCGCACCAGGCGACATCCTTGCCATACCATTGCCTGGTAAACAAATTCACTCATTGGACCGCAGATGCAACAAGATTGGAATAAACTGCCGTGGCCATTGCAGAGCCATAACTTGGCAACATTGCATCACTTTCTCCTTAAATTGACTAAACATTGGTTGAAAACATATGTTGTTTCAAGTTCTGTAGGGATCTAGTTTGCCAATAACCACCCATCATTTCTATGCTTATGATTGTCAATAACCGTAGGTCAGGGAAAATAACCTGAAGTATTGGTTGACGTCGACAGGTGTACCTTTGTGAAAGTCTGAAGGTGTAGTTCTGTAAAGGCCAGTTTAATGTTACATAGTTACTTTAGGCCCTTTTTAACTTGTTATAAGGAATTGCCAGCCTTTGGATTTACAAACGTAGGATGCAGTAATGGCTTTTTAAACTTTAAAATTAAAGTACCACTCAAAAAGCTGATCTACGGTTGGGGCTTGGGACAAGCCACGCTTGCAGTGGTTAGGTTGTGAAAGATTACTTTTCTTTGTTTGTGTGGTACATGTGAGCAATTCTATTTGCTTATATGGTCCTGTTTCCTAGATAAGCTGCACAAATAAGAGTAAAAACACGGTCAAAATAAGCTGGTGGAAATAAGCGCATCCGGAATAAGCTGCAAAAAGCACGCCGTATGGCTGTTGGTTTAATCTTATTTTAGCCATAAGCAGCTTATAAGCTGTACCAAACAGGGCCTATGATTTATGAATTTTAGCAAACGGGGCTTATAAGCTTTGGGTGATTAATTATTCAGTGCATTAGCTAAAGATAACTTATAAAAATGTGCAGTGGTAGGTCTTCATTTTTTATGGAAGGGTCTTTCACTTTCTTGGAGGCATACCTTTCTTTTTGCTGATTGATTCAATAATGATAGTTGAGAAGGATACTTTCTAATTTTGCCGACCTCTGCTGATCAGTACTTTCTTTCTAATGACAACCATTTGTTTCTTTCCTTAGCTTGCGCCTCAGCATTTCCTAACTCTGCTTCGGACTATGGATTGCTTGTGGCAAATGGAACCTATGCACTGACTGCTGGGAACTGTGTGGAGTGCAGTTGCGGGCCAGCAGATCTCAAGTAAACTTATACTCCCTTTTGTTCAATGTAGCTTTCTTGCCTTTTATTTGTTTCGGACTATAACACCCTCATTTCCTTACAGTTTATATTGCACATCGGCTTCACTGACAGCATCATGTTCAAGTATGCAATGCTCTAATAGCAGCCTAATTCTTGGTAATGTGACCGCACAACCCACCACTGGTGGCTGCGGTGTCTCGTCTTGCAACTATGCTGGCTATGTCAATGGAACCATCACAACATCGTAAGCAAAAAATCCCAAATAATTTTGTTTTTGCTCTATCTAAACTGTGGAACTCAAAGATGATCACATCTTACAATGCATGTGCAGGCTATCCTCAGGTCTTCAACCCATGTGTCCAGGTACTTGTGCAATCTTCACTTGTAGTCTGCTTCATATTTAGCTACTGAAGTGCCGATGCAGTAAATTTCAGTCCTTTACTCCTTTGTTCAAAGTTCCTTTTGAACATCATCATCGACTTGTCCAGAGCTGCACTTTTGAAACATCCATCAGTAAATGTATTGTCTAGTCACAACCTATAAGATTTTTTAGGTGCGCACCTCCTTTTTAGAAGAGAGAATAAAGGATGAACCTGATGTGTGATTTCGCCAAAGGGCGCCTAGCTCAAACGGTTAGGTGACCCGGCGGCACTCCTCAGGTCCTGAGTTCGACTCCCCGTGGGAGCGAATTTTAGGCTGAGGTTAAAAAAATCCCCTCGTCTGTCCCCATAACCAAAGCACTGGGGGGGCACCGGCCCAATTCTCACTTGGGCGATAGAAAGCCACCGTGTAAGGGTGGGGGCGGGGGTTCGAGGGTTTTCTCGGCCGGGTGAGAAGGTCCTTCTTATTTGAAATGATGCGGGGGCAGTCTTAACCCCCCCGGTCGAGTTTTTTTTTATGTGTGATTTCAAGTGTAAAGAAAGATATTCTTGTCCCAGAATATTAATCTAGCCCCTTGGTTTGGATTTAAATCGAACATAGTTTTGATCTCCTTGTGTCCAATCTAAGATGGTATTTCCTTTTTTTATATTGGTAGGTTGCCCTCAATCTTGTTTTAGTTAGTATGAGATTACGCCTGCCTAACACTATGTACCTTGCTTTAAAGTTCTGTATACTTCTTTATTTGAGGTAGTATGTAGTACCAAAGCAAACCCTTTTAAATAAATGAAGTGATAGTTATTTCACTAAATTATCAAGTGCAACATGTGAGGAAGCTGCATTGTAGATAACTGGCATGTTTCACCTGATCACACTTTTTTATGTCAAAGGAAAAGGAGAAGAGTGACAATATACCATTGCTTATTCAGACAATGTTTTCGTTGACATTATAAAATGTGGATCAAGGCATTAACCAAATAACATGATGTCTAGATTGGTGAAGCTTTCACTTTGTTCTCAATGTATTTCAGTATAGTAAACAGTAGGAAATGTACCGACTGAAGTTTTTTCATAGATGCTGTTGTTTCATTTGCCCAGTGCTATGCATCATGAATTCCTCTGTTTTGATCTTTACTGGTGTCTGTTGTTTCAATCACTTTGATCATGATTACAGGACCACATCAGTTCCCCCCACTCACGGCGGTGCCAACTGTGGCAAACCATGGGTCTTATTCTCCATCACCTGCACCAGGACCTGGAGACACTGGTGGTGCCATCCCAGGAGGTTCCAGCCTTTCTCCTTCAAATGGGCCTGCTGGGAACGCCTCGCAAGCGCCTGCGATAAATCAACCTTGCCGTTTCCTCCTCATTTTCATTCTTTCTCTGACATTGTCCTTGCGGATGTGGATTCCTGTGTAGAGTATTGTTGGCTGTATTTGTATTGAACGGGGAAGGCCTCATTGGGGCCAGGTGGAACCTGAATGAAGATTGCAGTAGCCTCTCTTCATCAGTGTCTGGTGAAACTTCTGGTATGATTCCGCTTTCTGCAGATTTTGTATATGAAGAAGCCACCCCCAAATTCAGGATCCATCCTCCAAGGCAAGGGTCTGAAGGCAGTAGTAGTACGAGATAGAGGTGGCAAGGTCCATGTAAACCAATGCCACCTCAACAAAACCATCTGAGAAACCACTTTGAAATGATTAAGGAGGTTGGGGCGGGAGGGGGGGGTTATTTTGTTTGGTTTTAAAAGTTTAATGTGTGATGCTGTCTAATATTGGATTTTTGGGGATTTTCAAAATCAGCGTTTAGTTTTTTTTATAGATGGCTTGACTCACAATTATATCAACACTAATGAGTTGATAGTCCCTATTTTTTTAGTGCTAAATTTCCATAACACTGTTTTTACATGGTAGTAAGCATTATTGCAACATCCTTGTCTACGGAATGGACGGGATGCGCTCACTCACACCAGGAGCGACTGTAGGACGTCGTTGGCACGGATCAATCATCTTTACACGTGATTTGGTATACGGTTATTACTTATTGAATGGTTAGCACAAGCATGTCATGGTGGCCTTTTGTCATTTTATCTTTCTTTTTTTTTAGAATTTTGTCATTTTATCTAGTGCTCTGCACCTTTAAAAAAAAGATTCAGTAACCACCTCTCTACCGGAAACAAGCTACATACCTGATCAATTCACCAAGCTACGATCCATTAGAAGAGATGGATATCAAGCAACCAAACGCACCCGAAACAAGCTACATAGCTGATCAATTCACCAAGCTACATACCTGATCAATTCGTCAAGGAAATCTAGCTACATACCTGATCAATTCACCAAGCTACCGGTAGAGAGGTGATAAGAAAAAAAGATATGTAGCGTTTGGTTGGGTGAATTATTGGGACGAGCAAACTAATGGATAAGAAATATAACCCCAAATGCTAGATTTCCTTGACGAAAAAAATCTAACGGACTAGCTTATCCATCTCTTCTAATTTTTGTCATTAGTAAATAAATTAAGATTTTTAGTATGTTATATTATTACTTAGTAATTATAATGGTAGGATTAGTGGTGATAAGTGCTTATTAGTGGTGCTAATTAACATATTTTATTTTAAATTAGTGATTATCATGACAAAATTAGTGTTAGTGCATATTTATTAGTGTCTAATTAGTTGTTATTATTATTAAACAATAGATATAATTAGTTAACTATTCTCATCCCATTCATTTTCATTCATCTAACCAAACAGAAAAATAGCTCGTTTTATACATCCAACCACGGATATCCTTATCCTAATATCCATATCCCATCCTAACTTCAAGTCTCAGCTGCACAGGGAGGGGAGTACGTACGCGTACGTACAGAGTATTTCTGCTGATGTCCGAAAGCACGAGCAAATCATTTGCACCGTACACCAACTAATCGGCTCCAACACGTACGTTACACGTCAACACGCAACCACCGCTAGATTCCGTAGCATTTGACTAACCATCTGTCTTGTCCTGCTCGCCGGTGGCAAATTAAGGATTCCAGGTCATTTTATACGCCGCCGTCGACGTCGTCGGCCGGTCGCCCTCGCCGCGGCCGGCCTAACGTCGGTGTCACCGAGTGCACCGGCGACTACAAAACTCAGCTCGATCAGGATGCTCTGCTCCGATGCTCTCCTAACAATAACACGGCCGTTGAATTCTGGCTGCTTTCACATAGAAAAAAGAGGGCAGCTAGGTGCATGTTTATTGACCAGTGGCCGCTACACTACAGGGATCTGGTTGGTCGTACGTGTGCAAGAGTATATGTTTTTGCGCATTGTCAACATGTCATTGACCCTCCTAGCTCGCAGAAATAACAAGGGGATAGATGAGCTCTTAATCTGTTTGCTTGCTGTTAAGTGGGAGGTGACCCTCCTCCCGAAGTGTCTGGTAAGTGATCTTGACAGTTTGCCTAGCCACGAGGCCTGCATTATCATAAGGCCGGCATTGAAGAACAAGAATCTTACTAGTGGATTCCTCTCTCTTTTTTTGTTAAATATGTTATGACTCTTATAAAAAATACTTATCTCTTTGTAGTTTCAGATGGCATAGAAAATCCAAAGCTTTTTTTTTTTCTCCGTGGAACTACATACAACATCGAAATCACAATACAGTTTTTGTTGTTAAAAAAGACGCACACAGAGCCGCGACCACATGATAGGCAAGACAGTGACATCGAAATAAGACGCAGGTAAAAAACCAATCGCTTCCCTAACAAGAAAAGCTTATCACACCATTCTTTCCAGCCTCAAAACCGATTGCATGATTGCATCAGGCACCACGCCTCACGCTGATTGCAGGAACCAAAGCTACTCTGATCATCACTACAGCTACAGGCTACAATTAGTTATCCCTAGAGGAAGAAAAATAGCCATCTGCAGAGAGGTGAGAGGAGCGTTCGTACCGGTGGTGGAGCTCGCCTACCCACCCTGGTTGACTCTGCTCTCTGCAGTCTGCACACCGGCCGGGCGGCCCCGATGGATGCCATGATTTCCGGCCGGTGCGGACAAAGACGCCTCCCCCGCCAGGTGGTTGGTGAAAACAACGGTTTACTGGACGTTTTTGTCAAAAGGGATCAGTGAGGAGGTGCCAGTGCTGCCGGTCTCCGTCAGCGTCAGGGTTTCCTTTTGGGATGGAGTCGTGCGTAACCATGAAACGCCATTTCTGTAGATATCGTGCGATCCTTTTCTTCCCCGAATGAAGCAACAGTTGATGCACGAATTAAAAGCCATGACTTTGAGACAAAGCAAGGCTCAACCGATTGTGTTATTGGGATCTCGCTGATGCGGTTCATTTTGGACGAGGTGATAGCCGTTGTTGTTTTTTTTCTTCTTTCTTGAATACGCAAAAGGCTTGCGTATCATTCTATTAAGATCGAGAGAGGCGATAGCCGTTGTTGCATTTGTTGTCCATTCATTTGTCTTGTTAGCTCAGGCGATCACCCTGTCAACATGTATTACTGCCCACAACAATGCATTATTGGCTCTACTGGTATCAAACAATTTTGCTGAGATAAAAAAGTAATGTATTTAAGCGTGTTAGCAAAGAGAATCTTCGTAATTTGGTATATACTATGACATCATTGAGCGATTTCACATCACGGCCTTTCTGCTATTTGTTCTTGCTCAAAATGTCTTGGAAGCAGAGGGTCCATGGTTTGACGGCTTTCTTATTAATGCGTCATTGGTCTTTTTGTGTGAAGTACTTATCGATGCTATCAAACATTCTTTCCTTGCAAAATTTAATGAGATAAAGCCAGTTGCATATTCAGAGTTTTTGGAAGATCTTTGCAAGCAGGTCCTCCTTGTCCTTGGGGCACAGTCTGCTTTGATTGGTTGAGCATACCAAAAGTTTGTGGCATTGAAGTTCAATTGCCTAGAAGTATTGATAGTATAGTACAGCACAGATGAATATTATAGTATCTTCTTCCAAGGGCTTTGTCGATTCGAGGAACAAATTAGTCCAATTTTGTGGTGTTTACAGTTTATTTCTGACCTCCGTTTGTGCATAGCTCAGCTTCGTCCTAAATTATCTGCTGTCACCTAACCAAGATGTTCTGATCTGTCATGTACGACAGGTTTATACATTTCCTTCGGAAAAAAAAGAAACAAACTACTATGTCATATTTCGTGTTCCACAGCAGCTCGATAAGATTGTTCGCATTGCGTCAAAAAAAGAAGAAGAAAATAAGTAAGATCAATTATATAATGATTGTATTTTTTCCGCGACCGTCCCATTGCACGTTTTTCATATAATGATTGCATTTTGAAAGTAAAGAGAGTAAAAAAGTCTACTATAATTAGTTGGGCTATACCTATAAATACACTTATTTGGAGATAAATTTTAAAAGGTAGAAGCGCGCTTATTTGGGAGTTGGGACTGGAGGGAGTATGTCCAATTGTCCATCCTGCCTTCTGCCGTGTTTACACAAGGCAGTCGAGGAGGGGTCAAACATACACGCTGGTGCCGTCCCTGGGCGTCTTAACCAGTTCTCACCTACGTCTTGCTTTGTCGCGCCGAGGGTACAAAATATTGAGGAAAAGTGGAGTACATGCCAAAACGACGGCGTATACAATGTTCTTTTCTTTTGACAAAAAGAATGTCACCGGCTTCTGCCAACAAGTAGGCATCAGTGGCACATCACCCAACTGCTTCTCCTCCTCACTCCTCTGAACTACTATATCCAGTGCTTCATCCGATGCCGATTCCTACGAGTCTCTAATCGCCATGACTAGCCGCGTGCTTTAGGACGCATAAATATGCAGTGCAAAGCTCCTGTAACCTCAATACAAGGCATGAAGCAGCTCGTGGCGTTGCTGGTACTGATCGCGCTCCCCGTGCGCGCGGTGCCTGTCTCCGGCGCCGGCGTCGTGGCGGCGCTGCTCACGCACGCCGACGCCGGCCACGGCCTCGCGAGGCCCGAGCTCGTGCGGCGAATGGCGCACCGCGCCAGGGCGCGCCGCCGGCTCCTGTCCGCCTCGCACGACGACGAGCGCCGCCCCGTGCGCGCCGGGCTCGGCGCCGGCGGCGGCGGGATCGTGACGAACGAGTACCTGGTGCGCCTGGCGGTCGGCACGCCGCCGCGGCCCGTGGCGCTGACGCTCGACACCGGCAGCGACCTCGTCTGGACGCAGTGCGCGCCCTGCCGTGACTGCTTCGACCAGGGCCTCCCGGTCCTGGACCCCGCGGCGTCCTCCACGTACGCCGCGCTCCCCTGCGGCGCGCCGCGGTGCCGCGCGCTCCCGTTCACGTCGTGCGGCGGCGGCGGCCGGAGCTGCGCCTACGTCTACCACTACGGCGACAAGTCGGTCACCGTCGGCGAGATCGCCACCGACAGCTTCACCTTCGGCGGCGGCAATGGCGACGGCCTCCCCACGCGGCGCC